CCATTTCCGTGACTGCTGGGGCCCCCTATGCTGGTTTTTTTTTTTTTTTTTTTTTTGAAAGGTTTTTGCTATAGGGCGCCTACACTCGCCAGACAGACAGAGAGAGACATAGAGACAGAAAGCCAGAAATCACCCCCCAGTGGGGATGGTCACGCCGCAATCCCTTCTCCTCCATTCTCCTCTGGGGATCTTGGACACGCATGTACATGCGTCCGGTGTGAGTTTTAAGCCACCGGGTCCTGGACACGAACCGCGGACGACTACGTGGGAGTCCAGTGACATAGCCATTACGCTAACTGCTGGTACCCCCATTCTGGTTCTTGACCAGTGCTCATGAGGAGTTAGAGACTCCTACATACAGAGAGGATAGCAATTAGAGTTTTATTAGAGGGAAAGGTTTCAATGAAGAGAAAGAAACAGGACCAGAGGGGATTATATGATCCTATGACCTCAAAATGGCCTAACTAAATAGAATTCTGAGAAGGAAGAAAAATTTTATTGTCTTTGAAATGGATTGTCAGATAAGATTCTGAAATTGAAGACAATTTGGAGTCTTGAGTTAAATTTATTCCCTGGAGGGGCCCAGATGGCTCTTTGTTTTAGTTAAAGAAAACTAATTTGGTCCCTGGAGGAGGCCAGGTGGCTCTTTGTGCTTTAGCCAGTGACTGGTTTTAGTCTTATTTTAGCCAGAAAGTGGGAGTCATAAATTCCTCTGAGATTTCTAATGGGAGCATAGTGAACATTTACCAGACTAAACAGCAAAACCAGAGTAACTCAATTATACAGTGGCCATCCCCTATCTACCTACAACCAGGACCTAACTTCTAACTCAGCATGGAGTTTAAGGCAACTGTATCCTACATGGATGATTATATGGTCTGAATGATGAATTGAATGACTTGAAAAACATACCAGGCAGGTGTATGCTTGTTTGTTCAATGATCATAAGAGGAAAATGGGGGCAAAGACATTGTGCCATGACCATTTCCCAGGTGGTAATTTCTCACTTTCTCTCTCTCTGTTTCTCTATGGTGAGACTATCTATCATATAGACAAAAAAAAAGTAATAACAAAACATAATCAATTTAGAAAAAGTAGACTTCTGATTGTATAAAAATCTTTAGTCTAACATACTTTATTAACAAATCAAAACTTTTGAATGTTTAGATTAAGGCTGAAATTTAAGAAATTAAGCCCAGAATAATTCCATAAAGAATGAAGTAAGAATTCAAGACAATACATAACAATAATTCAATAAAAACAAAAAAGTAAGGTATTTTTTAAATATCAAAATATAGTTTTAGCTAAAAATTCTTTAAAAGTTGAGAATTTTCAAGTGGAAAATAAATAACTATGTAGACCAATTGATTACAGAAAAATATTTTTTTCAGCTTGATAAACAAGACTTGATGTAGTCAATAATTAACTAGAAGATATGTATTAAATGTTTAATTTCAACAAAACGTATTTAATAGTCTTTTTTAAGAGTTGATGTAGTAGTGAATAAAACTAAAGAAAAACCCACCCAAACGTATCTGAAATGTGCCAAATGGTAGAATAATTGGCAATACAGATGCTATTTCTGTCTTTTTCAAAGTAATTATTTGTTTTCACTTATTATTATGTTTTAAAATTTGCTGCAGAGCAAATGTGCTTGAGAGAGAGAGAGAGAGAGAGAGAGAGAGAGAGAGAGAAAGTGAGAAAGCAAGCTACCAGGTTCAGGACTCAAACCATGTAGTTGGCTGTGTGAGTGTCCAGTGCCTTAGCCACCATGTCACCTGCTGGCCTTATGCGATGCTATTTATATGTTCTAGAACATAGTGAAATAAATGTTTCAATCATGGTTTCTATTTTTTTCTTTTTTTTTGTGGGGGAGAGGTTTTTGCTATAGGGCATGTGTGCTTGCCAGACAGACTCAGAGAGACAGAAAGCTAGAAATCACCTCCCAGGGGGGATGGCCATGCCACAATCCCTTCTCCTCCATTCTCCTCTCGGGATCTTGGGCATGCGCACACACACGCCCGGCATGAGTTTTAAGCCACTGGGTCTGGGATGCGAACCGTGGTAGACTATGTGGGAGTCCAGCGACATAGCCATTACGCTAACTGCTGGTTCCCATGTGTGTACTCATTATTCACATACTTAAAAAAGTCATTGTCTTCTCCATATACTCATGATTCTCCTTTAAAATCATCTCTGTGCAAAAGCAGCATCATCCAGCTAAATGAGACCTTGTCTCACTCACAAGGCCCTCAAAACCTCTCTTTATTGTTTGGACTCAATTTGCATAAGTAGACAGAAGAAAACATTTCAAGATTTTCTAGACCCTGAGAACATTATTCACAGCAGGTCCGTGTATGAGTGCAGAAGAATCTTTGAATACAGCCTAGAACTAAAACTTTTTGTTTTGTGGCTTGGCTGAAGAGTTTGCCCTAAATCACATAACTTGACTGTATTTCCCAATGCTGTTCCTCTGTTTAGGTACCACTGGAAGAACTACCAATATGTCTTGACCTTTCTCTTTGCCATTGAGGAGATCAATAAAAGCCCCCATTTGCTTCCCAACCTTTCCCTGGGTTATGATCTCTACAATGCATTTCCGAGTGACAAAAGAACTTTACAAAATGCTCTGTTCTTGCTCTCTGGAGGGAATCAGACCCCACCAAACTATAACTGCCAGACACAGAAACAACCTGTTGCTATCATTGCAAAAAATGCACCCACAATTTCATCCCAAGTTGGAACTCTTTTTGAGCTCTACAAAAGCCCACAGGTAATTGCTTTCTCAGGTTGAAGAATAATAGTTGGGAAAAAAAAAAGAATAATAGTTGGATAGCTCCTAAGACAATCTTCTCATATGTAATCAAGGAAAATGTAAATAATGAATTTACATAACCCTGGAGGCACACATAACAGTCTTGATTGTTTCAACACAATTTGCTTAAATAGAGCGAAAAAGACCAAAGGTATTTCCTGGGTCATAGGATTATTACAGTAAAAAGATGAGAGAGGAGAGAGAGAGAGAGAAAGCAGTGGTGGACCAGCATGTGATATCATAGTTAATATGACTCAGACCACATGACTGGCTGCATGGTTCAAGTCTTGATCCTGGTGGTTTGCAGAACACACTGGACATGTGTGCTTGTAGGTCCAGAATCCCAACAAAGGAAAACTGTAGGAGAAGGGATATTGGCATGACCATCATCTTTGAGATACTTCCCATCTCCACTGATGGGACTATTGATGGTTAACTTAAAGATACCTTCTAAAAAAGTGCACACAGCATAGAGATATGCCCCATTCAAGTTTTGCATAAAATCCTTTGCATTCATTATCATTTTGCATGAAGAAAGAATATTTCAGCACTGAAGATCCTCTAAAATTGGCTATGACTCAGTTACACCAGCTGTGGCTTAGCAGCTCCCTCTGCCCTTTCTCACACTCATGCAGATGGATCTCTTAAAAGCACTTCAAGCTACTCTTCTCTATCTACTTCAAGTTACTCTCCACTCTCCACCTCTGAGATCATTTCCACCTCTGAGATTATTTCCAGTGAAAATGTCAAATAAAATTTTAGGAGACATCACAGAAAAATATGCCATTAGCTTAGAAAAATTATGTTCTTGAAAAATTATATTTTAACAATGTCAGAGAGGTTAAGTGGTTCTGTTTTAAAGACAATAATTTATGCTGTTGTGATAAGACATAGTATCAAAAATTCAATATAATATTTATTTTTTCTCAGAATTAATTTTTTTAAACCTTGACTGCTAGGGAAGGAAGCCACTGATCTATATGTCACATAGAGTCACAATGGCAGAGTCACCAATATCTTGTTGCACCATCTTTATAAAGTTTATGCATACCTCAGTTTCCACTGTAGAAAATGAAGCATGTATTGAGCCTTATATTTTTTATACAT